CCGGGCAGAGGAAGCCGAGCCCGGGCAGGAAGGGACGACGCGCGCTGCGAACCCGCCGGAGCGTTCGCACCGAGGGCTGGGGGCGGCGCGGGGCGCCCTCCCGCGACCCTCCCCTCTCGTCCGATCAGTGGTGCTCGAGGCCAGAACTCTAGGTGCCCAGTTTCACCTGGAAGCCACTTTTTCTGGGCTTTTAAACCCTGGTCCGAAAAGAGAGTAGAAGCTTAGAAATCGGATGAGCTGGCTGCGGGCGTGGATAGGCTGGAAGCGAACAGTTACTCTGCCATCCCCTGCGTGCCAGGGGCTTTAACTTCATTTAATCCTAGCCCCTGAGAAGAGACATTAGCCCTACTGAACTGATAAGGCGGCAGACGCCGGGGTGACAGATGACTCGCCGTGGGCGACTGTAACCGCCGGAGAAGAGACGCGAGTCTGGAGGGCTCCGGCGCCCTGAGGCTTCCCCGGTCTTGCTGCGCGCGCCCCGTCCTCACGCGCGAGGCGGGGAACTCGCGCCGCTGGGGCTGTTCGGGAAAAGGGGATTCTTCTTAAACGCAGTCTACTCCCCACCTAGGATTCTTTTTAAAATTTTTGGTAGCGTCCCGTTTCTGATTGCAGTTCCCCGTTTTTGGCCCTTAGCTCCTGGCGTGCTGGCTCGCTCGCAGCCCTTGCCCCCTGCAGCGCTGCCTCTCAGATGCGGAGCGAAGCCCAGGCACCTCTGCCTGCCGCACACTGTCTTGCACCGGAGACGAGGCCGCCTGCACATCCGGGCTGGACCTTATGGGCTGCCCAGTGGAGGTAAGTTTTGCAGTCACCTGGCATCCTGTGCATCCTTCGCTTCGGTGTTCCTCTGTAGACGGAAAAGAGTCTTCGTTTTACAAACAGTAGAACAAGAGGTGAATCGGAAGGATATAGCCTGTTCGGAGAAGGCCTAGTGTCTGGAGAGGAGAACACCGCCGGCCACAGCCTTTCGTGGCCTGTGGTAGGTGAGGGACTCGCTGGGTAGGGACTTGTCCCCTCCTCTGGGCATTCTGCCCCCCTTTCAGAGCTGTTCTGAAAAGCAGGTTTGTTTTATAGAGGGGAGGTGGAGGGGTGACTGGTTTTCAAAGATCAGTGTAAATTACCTGCTAGGAGCCCAGACAGCTCCAGACAAGCCAGAGGATTTGGTAACAGATTTCAGTTCTGGCAAGAAGGAAGATCTCTGTGGATATCTGCTGTTGCTTAATGAATTATGGGCAGGCCTTAAAGACGGTAGTTTTGGGAAACTTTGAGGTCTTAGAAATGGCTAACTCTTCCACTTTTTTTTTTTTTTTTTAAGGTCTTTACCATTTATTTTCTATTTTTCCTTTTTACTATATTTATTGGGGTGACAGTGGTTAATAAAATTATACAGGTTTCAGGTGCACAATTCTACAGTACACCATCTGTACACTGTATTGTGCGTCTACCACATCAAGTCTCCGTCCATCACCATTTATCCCCCCTCTACTCCATTCTGCCCCTGCTCCCAAATCACCACATGACTCCCTACTTTTAAAAACCATGTAACATACCATGAATGAACTTTCATAAAGTTTTATTGGCAGATAAGAGAAAAAATTTTTTTTTCTATTTTATCGTGAGGGTTTGAAGGTGACGTGTTGGCTCCCTGCCTTCCTTCAGCCTGGTCCTGGTGAGGACCTCCTTAGCCTTGGCCCAGAATATGTACTGATTCCATTCTTCACTAATTATAGTTCGTTCTTGACTAGTTGTAGGACTACTTCAAGTCACAAGTTGCTTCTTTCCCATTGGTAATTTAGTTGCTAAACACTAAGAAAAATGTGTTCCCTGAGAACTATTGACTATCTACGAAATCATCTATCTACAGGGACTGAAGTGATGCACTGGAGAGAGAGCTAAGTGGGACCTGGCTGGTCCCTGGTGACCTCCAGAGGACTTGCTAAAGTCTGGGTGGGCATCAGCCATTTCCTCCACATAACCATGCAGGAGTTCTGGCCCAGTTTGGCCAGAGCTTTTTTTCTCCCCACCCCCCAAAGAGCTGAAAATTTTTTATTTAAAAAAAAAGTAAAATCGGATTTAATATAAATATTGGCTCACTTTTTTCTTTTTTTAAAAACATAAGGAATCAAATCAAATTTGGTTTGTCCATTGTCCATTTTCAAATCTCTTAGAAATTGCTATACCTGCTAATGACATTCTTTGGTGAATGAAAAATTCTGACCTATGATGTAGGTAATGTACATTTTTCATGAAATGAGCTGATAGGAAAGAAATTAATGCTGTTGAAAATGATCTCTTGATTCGTGATGTGTACGTCATTTCCACTGCATTGAGTCCTTTATGGGTCACCCAAGGAATTGTGTCACTGTTTTTAATATTCAGTCTAATGTATTCATGGTTCTGGCTCAGGATATCAGATGCTTAACTCCCTGCCTTAAAAAGGGAATTCCCAAATGACTATTCATATAATTCAGTTCCCAAATGAGTGTTCATGTAAATCAGTTCCCAAATGACTGTTCATATAAATCATGTGTGTTTCTCTTAGGGACTGTTTTCTTAACCACATTTGGCTTTGACACAAGAGGCATGTCATTTTCCTTTGTTGTCTATTTGTGGCAAATGCTATGTACTGTTTAGACCAGAGTTTCTCAACTTCGGCACTTTTGACACATTTGGTCAGATAACCTTTCGTTGTGGTGATTGTCCTGTGCATTGCAAGATGTGTAGCAGCTTCCAGGGCCTTTACCCACTAGATGCCAGTCCTTGCCTCCCTCCAGTTATAATAACCAAAAATGTCACCAGACATTGCCAAATGTCCCCTGGGAGACAGTCACCCAATTGAGGTGAAAAAAAAAAGAGCCAATATTTAAAATGCTCTAAACATTTATGAACTAAACATTAAGTAAACACAATTAACTTTAAACTTCTAATGACTAGAGAAGCTATTTGTAAAGTTTAACTAAACATCTGGCATTTTAAAATATTTTTACAATCAAGATTACTAAGCCAGTGTTCCTCATGAATGGCTACATGTGTCCTGCCAGGTTTTATCGCCCAAGAAAATTTCACATGGTTATTAAATTTTTAAAGTTTAAAATGTTGGAAACTAAACATGAATTCTACAGTAGTTTTCATTTTTCTCCTTTTAGTATACTCAGCGTCTTCCCAAGTGATGGAGTATCAGTGGACCATGCTTTGGGAAAATTGATTTGGGAAAATTGACACAATCGCTAATATTAGAACCCCAAATAAAAAATTCTAAGCAAAAATTTTAATAATGAGATTCAGTGTAAATCATGTTCAGACTCGAATTTAGTTCTAGGAAAAATTAAAAAGCTTTTTACCTAACAGCAAGAACTAGGACAATCATGTATTTTTTTCTTTCTTTCTTTTTTTTTTTTTAAGAAGGGAAATGAGGGTAGGGAGAGAGAGAGAGAGAGAGAAAGAAAGAAACATCCATGTGAGAGCAAAACATCGATTGGCTGCCTCCTGCACGCCCCCTCCAGGGATCAAACCTGCAACCCAGGCATGTGCCCTGATGGGGAATTGAACCAGCAAACTTTTGGTGCACAGGGGACGCCCAACCAATTGAGCCATACAGGCCAGGGCTTTTCTTTTTTTATTTATTTTTAATTTTTATTTATTTTTTAGTTAAGCCACTGTGTTTGGGGCAGTTTCCTACATGCTTTTCTTTTTTTAAAATAAGATTTTGGGTTTTTTTTTAATAGTTCTAGACTTTCAGAAAAATTGTGAAGATAGAGAGTTCTTATATACTGTTTCCTTGTTACTAATGTAATCATGTATTTCTCTAGTTTGAAAAATCCTGACTTTATCCCTGGTCCCTGCCAGAGCTTCTAAAACCCTTGGAATTTCCTGAGTGATAGGAGCATCTTTTGTTATTCATAAAGGAGTCCCTTTCCATAGCTGAGTTTATGCTAATGAGGTGCCTTAGGTTGGGGGGGG